TAGAAGTTTTACCACTTCTTTCTTGACAACTTCTTGCATTGCTGGATTCAGTCTCCTTTGTGGTTGGACTATCGGTTTGTAATTTTCTTCCATGAGAATCCTATGCATACAAATAGCTGGATTGATTCCTTTGATGTCAGCTATAGTCCACCCTAAAGCTCTTTTATGTTTCCTGAAGACTTCTATCAGTTTGTATTCCTGTTCTGGAGTCAAAGAAGATGAAATAATTATTGGAAATAATTCAAGTTCAAGAAAAACATATTTTAAATGAGAAGGAAGATTTTTGAGTTCAATTTTTTATTGAACTTCTTCTTGTGAGACTTTCTCATTTTCTGATTCTTTTTCCAATGTTTCCGCTTCTTCTCTGATTGTGGCATTTTTATCACTTATGGTACCTGACCTGACTAAACATCTTTCCAATGAATCAATAATTAACTGATTATCTTTGTATTCGTCTACAAGGTCATCTAGTAAGTCAATTTGAAAACAAGGTGCTGATGACTCATCCCTAGGATATTTCATCATTTTCTGCATGTCAAAAATTACTCTTTTCTCATCAACTCGCAAAATTAGTTGTCCTTGATGAACATCAATAATTGCTCTCCCTGTTACGAGAAATAGTCTACCTAAAATTAATGGTACCTCAGTATTTTCTTCCATTTCAAGCACGATAAAATCTACTGGGAATACAAATTTGTCAACTCTAACAAGGATATTTTCAGTAATTCCTTTTGGTCTCTTAGTACTTTGATCAGCTAATTGAAGAGACACATCAATATCTTTCATTTCACCAAGTTCTAATTTCCTGAAAATTGAAAAAGGCATTAGATTTATTGAAGCACCTGAATCACATAACGCCTTTTCAAAGTGAGTACCTCCCACGGTACAAGGAATTGTAAAACTTCCCGGATCACCAAGTTTCTAAGGAAGCTTATTTTGAAGTATAGCACTACATGTTTCTGTTAGCTTAACCACTGAAACTTCTTCCAATTTTCTTTTACTTGACAAAATTTCTTTGAGAAATTTAGCATATGAAGGCATTTGCGTCAAAGCATATGTGAAAGGTATGTTAATGTAAAGTTGCTTCAAAATATCTAGAAACTTTGAAAACTGTTTGTCAAGCTTTTCTCTTTTCATCTTTTGGGGAAAAGGGAGAGGTACAGAGTGAGGATTTGTTATCAATTCATTTTCTAGTACATTTTTCCTTTTATCCTTTTGTTCTTTTGGAAACTTAGATTTTATTTTATTCTCACCTTCATTTACCTTTTCCACTTCTTGTGGCTTTCCTTCTCTATCTGCATATGGATCATCAAGAGATTTACCTGATCGTAGAGAGATGACTTTGAGATGTTCATTTGGATTTTTCTCAATGTTGCTTGGTAGAGCACCTTGAGTTTGTCCAGATATGAGGGTTGCTAATTGGCTTACCTGAATTTCCAAATTCTTGATAGCTGAATGTTGACTTTTAACCTTCTCGTCAGTAGCCTTAATGAATTTATACATCAGGTCTTCAAGGCTTTGTTGATGAGTTCTTTGAGGCTGCTGCTGATATTGTTGAAAGTTTTGCTGCCCTCTATTTTGATTATGAAAACCAGGCGGTCCCTGTACCTGCTGCTTTTGATTAAAAAAATCTTTGAGGATTTTCAGCACCATTAGGATTACTCCATTGAAATCCTGATGTTTTTATGCCATGGGACTGCCAAATGAGTAATTATTTCTATAACCAATCATATTTACCTGTTCTTCATTTTGCGTTGAAGCTTGACATTCATGATTCGGATGATTACCTTGACAAACATCACAATTCTCAAGTTGGGATGATGAGTGAGCACCTACCTGAAAAGCCTCCACTTTTTGTGTTAAAGTCACAATTTTTTGTGTCAATGAATTCAAAGCTTCAACTTGATTTACTCCTGCCGTTTTTTTTATAATCATTCTGTTTGAGGGCCATTGAACAACATTTTCCAAAATTTCATTAAGCAATTGCATTGCTTGTGTAGTAGCTTTTCCCATTATTGATCCTGATGCTGCATCAATTACATTTCTAGCATAGGGTTTAAGACCGTGATAGAAAATATATAAAATGTCAGGGTCTTGGATACCATGATGTGGGCATTTTCTTAACATTGCTGCTAATCTTTCCCATGCCTGGTATACAGATTCAGAATCTGTCTGCATAAAATTATTGATTTCTTGCTTCATTTTAAATGTTTTTGCCGGTGAAAAATATTTAGTAAGAAATTTTTGGGTCATTTGGTCCCATGTTGTAATGGAACCTCTTGGTAGACTTCACAACCATGTTTTGGCTTCACCTTTTAATGAAAAAGGAAAAAGCCGCAACCTGATAGCATCTGTTGTGACTCCATTATACCTACAAGTTTCAACTAATTCAAGAAAATAAATTAAATGGGTGTGAGGATCTTCACTCGCATCACCAGTAAACTGACATGACTGTTGAATGGTTTGAATCAAGCCTGTGCGGATTTCAAAGTTGTTTGATGCAATTTGTGGTCTCCTCACACTTGATTCTCCTTCAAAATGATCTAGCCTTGCATAATCACGGAGTATTCTATCACGTCGTGGTGCCACCTCATCAAACTGTTCTTCTACTTGATGTGGTGGAAGTTGGTTATTGAGTTCTTCGCTCTCCATTTCCTCTATTGTGAAAATTTGAGATCGTGAGGTTTGTTCTTTTCGCAACAACCGTAAAGATTTTTCAATTTCAGGATCGTATTTGACTAGTTTTCTAGAAGAGGAACGAGTCATACACTTTCTGAAATTTTTGTAGAAAAGTTAAAATGATTAGACAAAAAAAAAATCTCAAATTAGTAGTAAAACAATTAATCTGTAGTAGACTTTAGCCAATCCCTGGCAACGGCGCCAAAAATTTGACGAGTGTCTAGCGTATATATAATTCTGACTCGTACTCTATCAAATTGTAGTATAAAAAGATGTTGAACCCACAGAGATTGATTTATCTATTCTAGAGATGTTTCGTGTTTTAATTACTATTTGAGAAAATCAGAAAGAGTTGAGTTGTGAATTAACTAACAAAAAATGCACGAATGGAGAAAATATTTTTTGTTTTTCACAAATATAACAAAAAGGTGTTGGGATCATGACTTCACTTAATATATTTATTATATAGTAGATACATTTATCCTTCAACTTCTATTTCTCATAAATGTATAAATGCCTCTCACGATTACATTTATATATTATCACTATAGTTGAACAATTAAATGCACTCCTCTCGTTTATACAAATTAATCGTTAAAATGGTAATATTATAGAACCAGAAATATATACTTGAACTAAAGCATGCTCTTTTTTAGTAAGTCCCTTTCGGTTACCCTATTTGTTATAAATGATTACTACAATATTCGCCTCTTTCGATTACAAATAAGTTTAGAATCAATTTTAACATATATGAGCTAGATGTCACTAAATATAGGTTAACATCTATCAATACCAAAATTAAGTATTACTTCTTCTGCCTCTTTTGATTACAGAATTAGTAAGAAGTTAATATGTAGTACGAAATAGATAGATGTTAACAAATTAAATAACACCCAACTATAAAGCAGATAAAATTTAAATAAAAAGCTTCAGCTCAAGCATGTGAAATTGAAGAATAATATCTACTATTATATAAAAATATTAAGATCCGTCATTTTCCCAACACAAGTTACTCCATATTGGAGCCAATACCGACAACGGAAATAATCTTGCCCATTAAATAAGAAAATAGAAAGAAATATTCAAGAGAATAATTCATCCTATTTAATTAAAAACATGAACTAGAGTAATTTCTAATACTACAATTTATTCAGAACAAGAAATGAAGCCAGAGTAATGGCTAAAAGATGAAAAAGAAATAAAACTAAAGAACAAAGAGAAAGGAAAAGCTTTCTGCTCAATATTTCACTTCTCCGATTTTTCTCCTCTCCTTTCCTTCACGAACGATGCCTCTTTATAGGCAAGCCATGACAAGGTTTTCAATTATCTTCTGGATATGAACTTGTCATGGCTGGTTGTGGCCTTGTTATACTTGGTTATGAGCTTCTTTGGTTATGGATCGGTTATAGTTTATTGTAGCCGATTGTGAGTCGGTTATAGTTTGTTGTAGCCGGTTGTGAGTCGGTTGTCCTTTGTCATGGCAGATAACGTCTTTCTATAGCACCATATTTTACTCTGGTTTAGCTTGTCCGTTTTTTTAATTTTTCCTCTGTAATCTTCTCGTTCCCGGACCAATACTTCTTTAACCTTTCCTGCATAATTTAGACAAAGTATGGAAGAAATATGATAGTTTTTTTTTTTTTTGTGTTTTTCAAAGAAATTATATGTTAAAAATCAAGTAAAATGCACTAATCAGGAGTATATTTTTAGCAGCTCTCAAAAAGAATAGCCGATAAAATATATACTTTGTATAAATGTGTAAATTTTATATATATATATATATATATATATATGGTTAGCGAATGCAATTAGTTTCGACCGACCGATCAATTTTTTGCCCTTGAAATAAGAATTATCCAACCCGATCCAACTCAATACCCATATACATAAAGTAAAATAATACGAAAGTGAATCCTTCACCCAAGAATTTAGTTTGGAATGCATGAGATTCTGACAAAAAAAGGAAAAAATAAAAGGTAGGGATAACAAGTGAGTTCTTGAAACAATAATGCTATCAATTTGAATAAAAATCTTAAAAAAATTGAAGTATCGTATTTTGGGAATTCACTTTTAATATTATTTTAATTTTTATATATGGGTATTGTGTAGGGTTAGGTTGGGTCATTTCTATTTTAATTGAGTTGTTATTTATTAGACTGAAAATAAAAAAACTGTAGATAAGAAAATATTATCAGAAAATTGTGTTTTTTCGTCACTATGATTTTTGCGAGTGTTAATAAAAATTTTATAATTTTTGTGTGAAAACATATAGATATATAAATTTGGTGGAAAAAATATGATTTTTATATGACCATGAAATTTACCCCAAAACTTCACGGGGGTCAAAGACTCGGGAACTTAGCCTGAAGTCATCGGTCTTTTCTTTTTCTCGGCTTTCCGCTTGCATCCCTCTATATGGCAAGTTCTACTATACGCTGCAGCTCATACTGTTGAGTTATTCATTTTAATACACTTCGAATCCTGTTCCTTTTTTCCTTATTTTCACAGCCCTTTTCCTTTTTACTGTAAATTCTTGCTAGATCTTTTAGTTATTATGTTGCAGATTCACATTTGTTTCTGAATTTATTGCAATTCAATTGTAAAATCGCAGCTTTATGGAGTATTAATATTGGGGTTGTGAAAAAATGCGGGAAGTTCCATCATTAATCACCTTATGCATATATACAATCAGAGATGAACTCATTCAAGGTGATATTTTTTTTATTTTTTATTTTTATGGAACTATACAAAGCTATTGCTTGGCAATTAGCATTTCTCTTTTTGTTTTCAGGGGATGATGTTGAACTTTCATCAGTCTTATATCAACTTCCCACAGAGTTGTTCGACCAGTTGTTGCCGCAATTGCCTCCATTGGCATTGCAAAAATTACAAGAAAGGTTGTTAATTCAACACTCAATTATAAGATTATATGTGTGTTTAGTAAATGTTCAATTTAAGCGGCCATAACAGGTTACTACTCTATACTTACCTGATGTTGTAAGTCAACTTAACATGACACTGCATAGAACTTAAACTCTTATTTTCCGCTTCTATTTTCTAGCATCTTCTCATTTATGTTGGATGCCAATGTACCTCGACCCTCCTCCTTTATCTTTAGTACAGCAATATGAGCTTAGATTCTATGCTAAATTCTCAAAGGTGGAGTCATTAGAGAATCCTTATTATTAGAGAACCCCTATTTTGCTTTAAAGGAGAAATAATTGAGTATTGGATTGAAACTGGCCTAAATGGAGGTGAATGGATATTGAGAATTCATACAATTGACACACTAGTTTGGGATTGACCACATTGTAAAGCTTTATATGAAACAGCTGTGACGTAGTTAACCGCGTTGTACATCCAAAAGCATGAACATGATTATCAATCGTATGCATCATTTGCGTCTTGGTTCCATTGCTGTTCTCAATAATCTAGAATCTCTAATCTGCTGAAAGTCCATTTGTCAACTTCTGCTAAATTAAGAGAACGAGTAATGGTTTATAGTTTGAAACATTTGGTGCATCGATTGTTTGAGAAAGTGATTTGAAATTTAGAGTGATGAAGCTAGTTAACGGGGAATTGATCAACATTTTTAGGTGCTTTATAACTGATATAGTTGGTAGATATTATTTAGTTTTTTCACACACATCTTTATGTAGTGGCACAAGTGCATAATATTACCTGATTTTAACCTGAAAATCTTGTGTTGCAGGAAACCTGATGTCTTGAATGATTATGAGCTTTTGACTGATGGTGTTGATAATCAGAGAAAGCGTAAAAGGTTTGCATTTGTAGTTTCATATAGGAAATTGAGTGAATTTTTCTTTAGTTCCTGGTCATAAAGAAAGATTATGTTACATCATGAGTAAATGTGTACAGAGAGAGGATGCCCGTATTTACATGATCTGCAGATGTTTTTCTTTTGAATGGAACTTGGAATATGTTTCTGCAGATATCTGAATTTTGAGGAAGAGTGGAAAACTCTCTATGAATTACGGTGGCCTGCTCTTGGCCGGCAGAGTAAGAATTCCAAGAATAAGTCATTTGACAGCTCAGCAAAAGGAAAAGAAGCAGAGCGTGAATCCACAGATGATTGGCAACAGATGTACTGGGAAGCACATTTGCAGAAGTACGGACATCAAAATCTACTTATTGGTGGTTATCACTAAAATTATACAGCTTCATTTCACCTGTCATTTTAAAATTTCACATTTTTCTGAGAAACAGATGCCTGGATACAGCAGCAGAGATAGCTTTATTCCCAGCTTTTCATGGTCAGATTAGTGAAATAGAAGTTCCTGGTAAGAATTCATGTTGATTTGTGGATGCCTTTATTTGTCTGTATATTGTGTATCACAGGGTGTACTTCTATACAGAAGTCTTCTCCTGTTCTGAAAATATTATGGCTCAAGCAAAGAAAGTTCAACAGGAGTTCCCTGAACTAGCAACATAACATTTCGTTGATACAGGCTTCTTTTGTTTGTGCAGATTCAATTTTAAATTATATTGATCATAGGGGACATATCGACAAAATCACATGTGACTACTCCAAGTTTGCTTATCACTGCCAACAATTCGGATCATATGCCAGGTGTATTTTCACTTCAGTTTTTAAACCTCCAGGCCTTAACCATTCAGAGGACAACGAGCCTCATTACAGAAATATCTTTAAACGCCATATGCAAATAAATGTTCCTATTAATATGTGTCATCATCTTCAACACTGCATTTGTGAAGTATAACAAAGTTTGGAACTGGGGTTCTCTTGTCTGCAGTTTTCTGCATTCTTTTCCCCTTTGAAATAGTGCGTAGGGGGTGCGCAGAATAAGTGATTGATTTTGAACATTAAAAGGAGAAAATTGATGCCATCATGTGCATGTAGTTCCTTCATTATTACTTATGATTTGTGCATTCATGCTACATATTGTGTTTCATCTACCGCTCTTGATTTTCTCAAACGTAGCTCCTTTTTGAATTACTTTTGTTTTGATTGCAGACACCTGAGACTGCCAAATGTTCTGTGTGTGGAAGAAACTTGTGTAAGTTGTACATATTGTGTAGAAAAAAGAAAGCCTCAAAATGATAATATTTGTTGCGTAAAATTGTCGATCCTAGTTTAGTTGTCAAATAGAAAAAGAACAACGTAATGCTTCCTTCAGTTTGTGTGTATAATCACCTTACATTTCTTTGTTGCAGCATTTACTTAGAAATGCAAGGTTGGAGAGTCTGGAATTACAGTGGATTAAGTCTGATGAGCATGTAAGTTCAGCGGTTTTTGTTATGTGTTGTACATGTTAGTTTCCAGGAAAGAGCAAAATGCACAAGTAACAGAACAAAGAAGAGGAAAGATAAACCCCTTAGAAACTGTATGGATTTAAGATGCAAAATACCCCACTGACAACAGATCCTAATGTATACTTTGAAGCAAATTTATTTTTGGAATTCAAGTCAGAACTAAATATGTGAAACATGCTCTTAGCTTTCATCTGATTTTATGTAGCTTGTTTCTTAAGGTCTTCAGGTTGCACTTGAGTGTAAAATCGTTAAGCAGAGCTCCCTCATTTGTTCCAATATGTGTTAGTTCTTTACCTTCCATTTCCTATTAACTATCCTATGTTAAACATGGCATACAAACCATATGCTGATGAAAAGAAGTTCCAAGCCGATGGCTGTGTCAAGTTACAACTTTATCTTGACAGCGATCTTAAATCCGGTCATGTCTTTGTTGGCACCTATGTTCAAGTCACTGTGCTCTGAAAGGTACAAATGCTGATAGTAGAACAATTTTGGTGTCTCCTGCAACTTCTTTTTCTTTTTTTGGTTTACTATATTGAGTTGTAAAAGAAGTGGATCCATTATCAGTGATCAGGGATTCAGCTCTGTAACACTGCTTTTCCCATCAGGATTGATTTCTGACAATGATACTATCTGATTCATGATAGAGTTATATTGTTTCTTAAGATTTTATGCTATGTTATCTGAAGTGCTTGTGCATTTTTTGATTTGGCATATGTAGTAAATAGGAAAATTGGAACATATCTTTTTTTCGAACTCTTATTTCTTCTTGAGCGGAACTTGTTATGCTTAGATGTCGACTACTTGACTGTTACACTACTTTGTTCCGTGGCTTTCAACCTTGCAGGTCGAGGGGTTATGCAAACTCATCAACCAGAACTATCGATCCCTAAAGTCGATTAAATTCATGTATTGCAAGTTTACAGTGGCTTCTCTTGATGCAATTTGCGACTTGCTATGCATGCTTTGTCCTCAAGCACCTGAAATGCAACATTTCTCAATCAAGACATCAAGCATCCTAGGGAACAACATTTCTTCTTTGCCTGCTGGACTAGTATCTTTTATATCATCAGGGAGGTATGGTGGATTTCACCTTAGTTTCCATCAGCTCATTTATTTAAGTGTTCTATGCTATATAGTTAGCAGTTAACTACTACAAAGTATTTTGAATAAAAGAGTTGTTTAATGTGAGGTGTATCTTCATATTCATGCTATCATAAGACCAAGGATGTCATGTGAGCTCATAGGTAGAATTCCGTCTTACGGCAATAATGGTGCGTGTGTAATATTGATCTTGTGAAGTTTAACGCTTGGAGGAAATTGCAAAGGTACTAGCGACAATAATCTTACAGAATCTGATATTTCTGGAAGTTTTCTAGTTCTTGGAAGAAATTGAAATTTTATAAAAAGCTCAATACAAGTGCAATGACTGTGTTTTAGATGACAGAGATCCTCTATTTACTTTTTCTTAAAATGCATATTATACTTTTTATTAATTCAATATGTGTTCCTGGGTAATTCTGGCAAATTTTGGTTAATATCCTTAATGTGTATGTCCATGAAAATCTCATTTCTTTCAAGCGGAATTTGCTAACAATGTGGGATTTAGTAACAGTTTCAGAGAGTTCACACTTGGCTCATAGCTTCTCTTCGGTTGGAGACAAATTTCATGCTGCCAATATTGTTCCTAAATGGGAGATAATTCTATTTAAGCCTGTAATTGACAATCGATCATCTTAGAGATACAAAGATGGTCATGTGATAGTAATGACTTGCGTACTTATGTATTGCTGTTCCTTGTTTGTTCTTTGCATCATGCCTATCAACTCTAACCCTATAAAATGATTCCATAGACTTACTATTGTGCATCGTGTTTCTGCTAGGTCCTTGTCTTCATTATGCTTATCAGACAATCATCTTCATCGACATTTTGCGAGGATAGTTTTTGATACCCTCCTTGATGCTTCATCTAGTATTACCATTCTGGATCTTTCAGAAAACAATGTGAGTAATGACATTTACTCCTGTTGTTGTATTCAGAATTACTGATGTAATCATCAATCAACCTATAGAAGCTTTTACACTTCAGATTACGGGATGGCTTTCTCATTTTAAATGGAAGGGCAAAAGTATCAAAGAGCTATCTGGGACATACAATTCATTAAAGTCATTAAAGAAACTTAATTTAAGGTATGTTTTGGCTTTTCTATTCACACTGACCTGTCGTGGTATAAACAGTTCCATAGGAATTTGGTCACAAGCTGACTTAATGAGTCTTCAGGAGAGGTGTATTTGTATTTGTCATTTTAGTACAATACAAAGTTTACTTGTTTCTCTAACTTCAGGAACTGCAATCTACAGAGGGACGATGTGGATTGTCTCAGATATGCGCTAGTCCACATTCCTAATCTGGAGCAACTTGATCTCAGTGACAACCCTATCGAGGATGATGGATTCAGGTTGGTTGAATTTAGTTTCTGTGTACAGTGACCACCTTGCTAAGATCTCACAACCACGTTTTTTTTCCAGGTGCTTGAGTACCTACTTCAAAGAGATGTCACAAAGGTATTTCTCCCTTGTCGAATTGAAGTTGGAAAGTTGTGAGCTTACTTGCTCCGGAGTTTGTGAACTTCTAGAAGTTCTTTCTGCTTTGAGAAAACCACTCAGTTTTCTCTCAATTGGAGGCAATTATCTTGGCAGGTTGGTAAAATAAATATGGTTGCAAATTATATTCAATTTTCATATCTCTTCTCCTAAATAGAATATATTTTCCGAGGGAAAAACCACATACGACCCGGAGAGTGCCTCATGGCTTATCACTTGGCCTTTCACATGCTTTCGTTGTGCTTGAAGTTCCTAAGAGTTTTCTGTTTCACTCTGTCAACTAACGCGGGGAGACATTTTAAGCTATGTTTTGGGTTATATTATACCATGTTAAAATGCTGGACTGATAAGGTGATGTTGTCATGGCGAATTTGCTGCAAATCTAATCTTTCCTTTTTGTCCTGGGAACTGTATATCAAGTCATTTCATTATTTGGTGTTCTAATAGCTTTCCATTTGTTGTGAAGTTAACTCTCTAAATTGTATCATAAGCATTGCAGCAAAATGTAGTACATTATTCATACTGCCAGACCTCATCTGTGTCATATTTCTCCCTTTGTTATCCTCATTTGACACTAAAATTGCAAAATGTGAACATTTTTTTGACGTTCTCGTTGCCTAACTTTTTGTAGTGAGATAGGGACACCATTAGGTAAGTTTCTATGCGGAGGTATTCAGGCTTTTGATATTGAAGACATAGGACTAGGTTCTTCTGGCTTCTTGAAAGCAGGCAAAGAGTTAGTCAAGGAATCAAAGCTCCGCTCCATCAACATAAGGTTAAATGGAGTTTCCATTGAACTTCTGATTATAGAATTTTAACAGAGAGTAGTAACATGTTCATTAAACTTATGCAGCAAGAATCGAGGTGGAATTGAAACTGCAAGATTTCTGTCAAAGCTTTTCTCTCATGCCCCAGATCTTTCATCAGTAAATGCAAAATACAACTTTATGGCCAAAGAATCTTTGTCAATCCTGAGCTGCGGTGTAAAAGTTGCAAAAGGTACAACCTTCTAGTGCTCTGTTCCTTCGCTCGTTTTGGATTCTTTCTGTAGCGTAAGTTAACTTGTCAAAATAGAACTGACAACGTGTGACCTGTAGAAATTGACAGCTTTTCTGGTAAAGCATTGAAATCATATCAATCTTATATCTTCTTTTTGTTAATTGATAATAATGGAACGAGAAAGTGTGAACTGATGGCAGACGACACCCCAGGACTTCTGTTTCTACAAGTTCCTAGCTGATAGTTTTCCCTTGCAAATGGTGAATTTTCTAAACTGCCATTGGAAAAATGACCATGATGACTAATGTAGGTGAACCACAGTTTAAGAGTTTTGGGATAAAACAATTAGTCGGGTTCACAAGTAATACAGTGAAATCGGCTATTTCATGAACCTTTCACCTCATTCATATGATCAGCAAGTAAATTGTTGTGTAAAAGAAGATTTAAATTATGTGAACTGTGTTCTTTTGTGGCATAGTCTCATTCAGAAGTTGTTTGTTTCTGCTGATTTTCGCTTTAAGTTCTTAGGTTCAACTGTAAGGACGCAACACCTCTAGAGTGAGTATGTGCACGTCAGGGGTTGAAATCATGCCATGGACAAAAGTACGGTATTTAAGTTCTGAGGAGGGTGGAGAGGCAGGCCCATACTCCCCGGAGTTTGGAACCTGCTAATACTTTACGAAGTGGGGTTGGGCTCACAAAGTGGGCTCACAGGCAATTTCTCCCATATAAAACAATTTCCTAATTTGGAAGTTTTTTAGTATTCATTTGGTTCAGGGGCCTGATGGTTCTAATGCTTTTTTGAGAAACTAGAAGAGAGATAGGTTTTTTCTTTTATTCTGTACCTTCAATGTCAGTTAATTTTGGAACTCATTGACCTTTTTGCCTCTGCCATTGGTTTAGGTAAACTGGAGCATTTGGATTTGAGAGGAAATATTATATGTGAAGAAGAACTTGCTGATTTTTCTGAGCTGGCTGAGCTTCGAACCAGTGGAAATTTTGTTCTGGAACTCTCTTCTTCACCAGCACAAAATGTACCTTATGATGATGATCCTTAGTTGCTTCAGCTGTCAGGTTGAAAGCTAAGAGCATGGATAATGATCTGTCAAGTCCCCCCACCCCCCACAAAACCCCCAATGGCAAAGACAGTGCAACACATGGTTTGTGGTAGGCGCGTTTCACGAGTTCTGGTCTGCTATGGGTTGACTTAGGTGTTAAGTGGAGAAAGGCAGAGGTGCGGACCCATCATGCGAGTTTTGAAACTGGAAACTACAAATATGGAGTTTAAAGAAAAAAGATAGCGATATCTTTGTAACACTAAGTACTGTTCATTCCTGAATATGTTGTGTTGTATAACAGGACATAAGACTGATGAGTAATAATGACCTTAAAAAGGAGCTCAATCAGATTATCCCTAGTGAATGTGATATTGAGACTAATACATAGTGTTTCTTGTTTTGAGAGTTCCTTCTGAATATCACACTGTTAAATTGTTTTGATTATATAAATTTCAGGTTTTCTTTTCGGATAAGGAAAAAAAGTTGAGGTATTCTTTCCTTTTGATAAATTTGAGGAATTTTTGATCTCATATATAATATTTGATTAGCCTCTCCAAGTTCATTTTTTTCTCTTGAAACAGTCGAGCTGTGGTTGTACTTCTGCTTCAAGTTTTTAACTGGCAATTAATCAGATTATGCTTGGAAAAGGTTTTTTACACGGATAGAAAGCTGTTAGATGTTGACTCTTGACTTTTCTGTTTATGAATGAAATGCAGAAAAGAGTTACAACAACAACAAACCCAGTGTAATCTCACAAGTTGAGCCTGGGGAGTGTAGTGTGTACGCAGACTGCACTACTACTTTCAAGAATATAGAATTACTGTTTCCGGTAGATCTTCGGCTTAAGAAAAGTAAAAGGGCAACTACAAGCACACCAATCAAAAAATACGGGAAAGTGTTAATTACAAAATTGAATCCGAATAGGAAAAATATTGGGAAGGAGTGTACTAGACCGTTCTTGTTCATTTATTAACTACGGAATAATAATTACGGATTCCAATACAAGGAAATTATATGGTAATTTAGTAACATCAGAATGAGGCTTAGGCGCATGTCACAGATTCAAACTCCGGCACATACAAAAAATGGATGCAAGTCTAAAAATCATCGAGGAGCGGATTCATTATCTACAGAAAGAAATTGAAAAGAAATTCCCAAAAAGAATGAAAGGAAAGAGAATGACAAAAATAGGTTTAATATGGTTCCTTAAACATGTACGTGAGCAATTTCGTTTAAGTTTGCAAATGTGAATACGTGTGTCTCCATCAAATACTTAACAAACTATAATTGTAAAATTAAACAAGAAATGTAAAAAAGAAAAATTAATCAGAAACACAAGGGAAAGTTTTATCAAATTTCATAAACCTACAATATCAAAAACTGCACTAGATGCTAGAAATAGATTTAAAAAAAGAAGAAGCAGAAAATCACCTAAAAAAATTACACCAAACTCAATAAATAGACTCAAAATAGAAGAAACTTTAAAAACCGTGCCTCAAAATGTAAGCTCATGTTAATTTTTTTTCCTTCACAATTTCCGTTAAAATTAACAACCAAAGTTTTTAAAAATATTTGATGAAGACTAAAAGTGGTCTGTTTTGTCAAACTTAGAGGATCAAAACTGATAAGAAATATATTTAATGGATCATTTTGAACCTACCCTAAACAAAAGGACCATTTTTGTCATTTTTCACGAATAGAGGAAGTCCAGTGGTTCGGGTTCAAATATACGGGTCTGCGCCTGAATTGACCCTTCTTTAGAAGTTAGAGCTCTGAAATCTAGAGTTATTGAGTAAACTGTAAACTCTGAGATTCTTCTGCAAACTTGGCTTCACTGTTCCTCAGACACGACTTTCAATCTGTAAGTCCTTCAATTTTTTTCTCAATTTTCCTTACAGTAGCCTTTATTACAGATCTCCGTTATTAGTTCTTAGGATCTCTATTTCGTCAAACTATTTTTTTTGCTGCATTTTCCTGGTAATCTACGCTATTGTGTTTAATCTTCAAATTTTCATTTGATTTTTTTCCTATATGCTTACACTTCCCGCTCTCTCCCTTTCTATTTTGTTTACTTATTGCATCGGTAGTTTATTGGTATATAAATCAAAGTGATTGGTGAAATAATCGTTTGATTAGTGTTTCCAGAAAAGGCCGTCTATGAACTGCATATTTTAATCGGTTGATTTTATTTAACAACAAAATAGTTGCAAAATGTATGTGTAACCTGAGGAATTCTCCTACTTCTGGTTTCTGAAGTTGCTATTAAGTAATGAATTTTCTCTTATCCTGCAGAAAAATTAGTAATGGAAGTAATCATTTAGATGATAAATTTGCTTGGAAATCCATGTTCGGTCAAAACTAGATATGATAAGAAGATAAATTTAAGTGGGATGTGATTTAAACCAGGTGATGGAGTCATTTTCTGGGGTGTAAAGTTCTATGCACTGATGGTTAAAAATAATTTGCATCATCAGCTCACTTAAAAGGCAACTAGGCAACTGCATGTGGTTCTTTTTACAAACATTGATTAGTAACCTTAAAAAATGGAAAAATCTTCTATAATACACTGATGGTATAAGGAAATCTTTACAGTGTCATTGTATATAACTTAAATCTTTTTTTCAGTTCTACAGACTTTTTGGACTACTTAGTCTTTGCCTGTCCTTTCTCCGGATATGTTCGTATTGAGGTTATGCACTTATTGGGGGTGTCCTTAGGGTAGCATTTACTGATAAAATCGGCTAAAACGATATTGGGTGGGATAAGTGAAGTTTCTGAATCAAGCTGGACAGTTATCTTTGATATGTGTTAAGCTTATAGCAAGAAAGAAATATGAGATACCTGGAATAATGAGCTGCCTGCTGGCATTGTTTTTGATGTTAGAAATTTGGGTTGGCCCTGTTTGGTAGTTTATACCTTAGACCTAATCAAGCAATCAGAAAAATGAACTATGCTTATGTTGAGTTACTAACATTTGTCTTGATTAAAGAAAATCCTCCTGCAGAAATGTATGATAACCTGGGAGCACAGTCTGGAATGCCAAGACCGCCTCTTAATCCACAGGCAAGTCCTTTTGGAAATGCATTCTCTGGTGGTAGCTCGGGGTTCATCAGGAGTGGACTAGGGGCTTATGGAGAAAAAATCCTTGGTTCCAGTTCTGAATATGTTCAAAGCAATGTAAGTTGCTTCATGGACTAGTCATATTTCTACATTTTGCTACTTACCAGAAGAAGTTTTTCTATTGATCGATCGTGGAGTTTTTGGTTTTTGAACATTAGATCAGCAAGGAAACGGTACTTCTCTTTGTTTTATATTTGCATTGTTGTTTATTAGGTAGGTTAGTTCTACTACTTTTTGAAAATCAATAACTTTTAAATAGCATTTACAATTTTGCCTTCACTTTGACGGCATCATCAAACTGGCATTGTCACATAATAGCAATGTTAGCTATGCGTGATTAGCTTTAGAACTCGGTAGAACTTCAAAAGCCGAAGGATATCCTGTTACTCAATAGCAATTGAAGCTAGGTGAAGTTGTTTCCATTTTCCAATTGTTAACCACATTCTTCAATTTTTTTTTTCAATTTGCAAATTTGTCCTCAATATGTCCTTTCCTTATTCCTTGATCCAATGATAACACCCGATGCCCTATTTGGTCATCTCCCCGCAATTGAGCTGTACACTCAAAAAATTAACTTTAAAAAGAATAGGAAAAAGAAAGATTATTGAGGGAGGAGACAAAATACCCCTTCTTTAAGTAGATAAAATGTTTATATTTAGTGGTAATAGTATTGGATTCTGTGGGAAGATTAGGTCAGATAAACAGATTATTCTGGGGAAGCCTGGAATGACTAATGTGGAGCCCCATCTACTCCAAATAAGAGAAGGAAAGAGAGGTCAATCGGAGAAGAAAGAAAAATATGATTTAGAACTTGCAAATTTTAGTACTATCTTCTGATTCTGCCCTGTTACCATGAATTCACTTATTTCCTCAAGTGTGTTTAGCTGCAGTTGCAGAAAGTAACTGTAAGTTGAAATAGGGAATTCCCGGGTTGGCTGTCTTGAAAGGATACTGTGAGTAGAGATGGGCATGGGGGTGGCATAGTATAATGCTCTGTAGGGGCAGGACTCGGGAGAAAGCTTGAAAGGGATTATAATAGTGGTTTTGCCGCAATATAGTGGATTCCAGATAAGCTAATTCAATTGGAGTATGAACGACCAACATCCAGTGATAACTCCTGGAGGTTTTGGTTCGTTAGTGGGTTTGAGGGGAACACTAGTATCACTTGGTATGATGTGGTGAGTACACAAAAGATTAGTCTCTTTTAGTTTATCTTTGGTCCGTGGTACTAGGATGAATCTGGTGTGCAAGTTATATTGTTTATCAAATAAAAAGCCTTGCCCTTACATGGCAATTTGTTCCAAACTTTCCTCAAAAATAATTTAAGATTACCCTTGTTATTTCATATTTGTAAAGAACAATTAGCCATTCATAATGAGGCATGGAAGTAAGGTTACGTACTTGTCAAGAAAAGTTATGTAAAATCAATGTGGCTATACAAATGATTATGCCATTGGAGGCCACAGAAAAATCCCCCTTAAACAAAAGTAAGCCAGATCGCTTCCCCCTCGTCTTTGATATAATGTAGCATTTACCTCTTTGTTAAAGTTCCCTAAATGTTGCTTTGAAGCCATACTTGATTTAAAGTTATTATTGCCCAAAACATTTTTCCATTCTTTCTGTGGACTCGATGATATTGAATTGTGGTCTAGCTTTTCTGTTGGAAACGGAATTCTAGTTAACGGCTTTTCAATTGAACAGATAAGTAGGTATTTTTCCGATCCCCAGTACTACTTCCAAGTGAATGACCAGTATGTGAGAAACAAATTGAAGGTTGTTCTTTTCCCTTTTCTACACAGAGTAAGCTCTCAAAACTCTTGAACTCTCTCTTTGTTGCATTATGATCTCGATACTGTAAGTTTTTCATTTGTCTGTAGGGTCATTGGACAAGGATCACAGAGCCAGTAGGTGGCAGGCTATCCTACAAGCCCCCTATCTATGACATAAATGCTCCAGATTTATACATTCCATTCATGGCATTTGGTACATATGTTGTTCTTGCTGGCTTATCTTTGGGTCTCCAGGGAAGGTAAGCTTAGTGTTTCTCAAGCTTTCTAGGCTTTGGTCTCTTAGTGTTCAATACTGAGAAGTTTCTATGATTTTTTTCTGGCAAAATTTTGTGTCGAATTTGGCAAGTGTTTGCTTACCTCATTTTTGTTTAAAGTGCCAATAGATGTCACATGCTCATATAGAAGAACAAAACTGCTGCTTAAACTGAGCTTAATAGAATTGTCAGCATAAGTACATAGTTCGGTTAGCTGTCTGCTAAATGAGTCTCCCCCACTCTCACCCCCCCCACACAGACCCACCCACCCCAAATCTCATTACATTGAGTTACCTCTTCCTCTTATATTTAGATGTCCTAGTTTGTTAGGCATGGCTGTTGAAATACCAAGTGAATTTTATTGTATTTAAAATAGATTGGGATTCAAAAGTGAACGTACGGTTAATTTTGACTATGAAGGTGAGTTCCATAGTATTGTATGATATGGGGTTGAAAAAGATTTGGAGAATATGGAGAATAAATTTCTCTATAAAGAGAGTGCAAACCAACTAGAGACTTTCCCAAATAAGTAGGACAACAAGTTGGGACGTACGAGTGATATTTTATATTATTGGTGGGATACAGTTGGTAATGTGCCTCGCCTTCAAGTTATGTTATCACATTCAGTAACTTGCAATAAAGTATGGAATAATTTCCTCCATTGCATCCTCTTCCTTTTGTTTGTATTAATTCTGAATCTTTTTGTCTCTTCACAGGTTTACCCCAGAAGCTCTAAACTGGCTGTTCATCAAGGGGTTGGTTGGTTGGTTTTTACAGGTTTCATTGTTGAAGATGACATTGTTGTCACTGGGTAGTGGAGAGGCTCCTCTCCTTGATATTGTGTCATACTCCGGATATGCTTTCACAGGATTGTCCATAGCTCTTCTGGGAACAATTATATGGAGCCATTGTTACTACTTCTTGATGCCATGGACAAGCTTATGCATGGGAATATTCTTAGTAAAGACAATGAAGAGAGTTCTTTTCGCAGAAGTGCGAACTTATGATTCAAGCAGGCATCATTACCTCCTCCTCTTCATTGCCCTAGCTCAGTTTCCACTTCTCTTTTGGCTTGGAAAGATAAGTCTTAATTGGTTCTTTTGAAAAAGAATAGTCATAATATGGTTCAGCAGCTGTTTTCTGTGAAGTAATGTAAACAATTTTTGTGTAGGATTTACCTTGACATTGCAATGTAACATTTACAGCGATTGTTTTCCTTTTGTTGTCTTTACAAATTCTGTGTTTCAATTGATTAAAAACTATTCACACATTAAAGATGATTGAGAAGAAGGTGACAATCCTATATTAGAAATTTCGAAAAGTTTTATGCCACACTTTTTAGATTGTATGTTAATTTGAACACGGTCAACATTTCCTTAGCTTTTACTCAAAAAAAAATAAAAATATTTACTCACCATCTCTGACGAAAAATATAAGTGGTCACAATTTCATCGACTTAATATTGAAATAATCGACAAAGAAAGTGGGCAATTTATCAATTCATCTTAAGTTCAATTACTGGCGTAAATAATTTTTGTGGTGTAGGTGCAATTTAACTTGTAATAATAAGTTGTTTATTTTATTTTAACATATTAATTTACTTATTATCAATAATACCTAAAGTTATTTTTCATGATGGCATGAAGATCTTCTAATTTTGATAAGCGACTATAAGGGTTTGTTTGATTGAGGAAACAAGTTATCTTGGGATTACAGTGATGAGATTATAATACTAGGATTAAATAATGACGGAATTATTTAGTGAATTTATTTTTGATGAAAAATGTTTGGTTTATTGCACTAAAAATTGCATATACGGGATATAATATAAACATATGTTTGGTGTTACTAGATGAGTTGTGATAAACTTTTATTTTAAATTGTTATCTTGGATCGTTTAAAAATGATAAAGAGCCTTGGAAAAAAGCATCTTTGTCATTTTAATATTTATTCTAAGATTAATTAATTTTGCGATTATTATCAACCCTCAATGTGGAATAGAATAATACTTAAATTATGAGATTAATTAATTATGAAATGGCTAATTCTAGTTTCAAAAATTTAACTAAATATAAATAAAATAATCTTATATGTAATTTTAAAACTTTTATCCTTTATTCCATGTACCAAACAAGCCTCATCACCGGTACACTAGATAAGATGGCTAAACTGTAGGGCCCATCTCAATTTCCCATTTCAAGCGTTTACACCTAGCTCTTATTTATACCCCTAAGTTATAACTTTATTACTTTTGATGACTTATTTGCTTCCGTAAATTTTTTAAACTTTGAGAGCTTTTTAAATGTTCCAAAAACATCAAATATTTGACTCATGGTCCCCGCATACCTATCTAGCCTTACCCTTATACTCTTTCGCAAGACAGTAAATCATAAGATGGCTTCAATAGTAAAACAAGATTAAAAAAATAATACGGAAGTAATACAAGACATTTATTGGAGTAAAGAAAATTGTTTTTCTTAATAAAGTCAAATGAAGTAGGCACACAATGGTAAAAAAATTTGAAATGCTCGATAAGCATGCAAAGTTCTGTAGACATGTAATTTTGACCCTCCTCGAGATTTTACACATTTTAGCGTTTAAATATTTAGTTTAGGTCTAATATCGCTATTTTAACTAATTTTGACTCTTTTACTTTATTTATCACAAAAATAAAAATTACAAAAATATTTTCTTTTATTTAGCTAATTGATATTTTATCTAGTTACTTTTAGTTTATCTACCTTTCATAAAATAAAATAAAAAAAATACAAAAATGGTATTGATATTTTATTTTTCTAAAAAAAAGATAAGAAAAAAAATTTTGAACTAATTTTGTCTTGTTTTTATATGAAAAGACCATTATTTTGAGCTTGACTTGGCCCACAAGATGCCCAAATTCGGCCAAGCCCAATACCCTTAGACCCATTAGAATTTTTAAAAAAAATCCTAATACTTTAAAAGCACTCTCATCTCTAACCTAGGGACTTCTACTTTTGGACCAAACCCTAGAACAAGAAAACTCCTGCTGCTTCTTCTTCAAAATCACAACCCCACACCACAAAAGAAAAAGAAAAGCACACACACAAAGGAAAGGGTGATGGTCCAAGAATAACAGAAAGACAAACTGAGACCTCTTTCTCTTCACTCTTTGCTTCGATGTTGCACAGGTACTGAAGCAGTTGATGACTTGAAACATGTAGTTACAATGTGGTCAGCGTCGAATTTGCAAGCAATGTCGTTGAGACCTCGAATCATTCAACCCCCTTTTTCGACGCCACCCATCTCCTAGCCGTTTCAATTGTGAAAAATCACAGCTTTAACCCCAAAACCCAACTACGAAATAGGCTTGAAATTAGTCCCTAATCTTGCTAAAACTCCAAAAGATCAGTGTAAATCAGCCTGCATTACCACTCCAACAAGTGCTTCTTCCAACCGGGTTCAAATGGTGTTTCGAGAGGTCTTGTTCGAAGTTCGTCGTTGTGAGTTCCGAGCGAGGTGCTTGTCCATGGTCTTGTCTATTTCTGCTTGTCAAAATTATTAATTAATCAAGGTTCAAATTCAATTTTAAGGTTCATTCTCTATCCTCTCCTTGTTCTTATTCAAAACAATACTTTGTTTTTTAGTTGGAATAGTATTTGAATTTTGGTTAAGCGTAAGATGCTTTGCTTTTGACATCCTTTTATTTATAATTAGATTCCATGTTTTGTAATTTCTTTAGATTACATTTGTTCATATAATATTGATGAATAACGTCGTAATTTTTATCTAGTTTTGATTTATCCCTCATGGTTACAATTTACTTAGGTTTAGATTTGTTAGTATTAATTGCCTATAAGAATTTGAAATGGACCGTTGTCTGTTGAGCTAAGTCCTTGAACCATGGTTTATTGGGCTAAAAGGAATAATTTTGTTTCGTGGAGGAAGGTTAGGCTTTATTTGATGCTAGAAGCCCAAAAAGAAGCAAGGACGTCCCTGTCCACATTCATGCATATGCTACTGGCCCAATTTTGCTCAAACACATGTAGTTAGCCCACCATTTCATGACTAATTAATCTATTTCATGCTTCGCTATGATGACTTCCATACTCCTATGCCCTTACATTAATCTCAAATGTAGTAGGAAATAATAATAAATCGTTAGAATGCTTTAGATGTAATTAATTTATTATCGTGATTCTGTACACGTTCGCATGACACGATTACGATTTCTAAAATGAATATTCGTAGCAATGCTTTAAGTGCGCTTTTAATCTACTATCGTGATTGTGTACACATTCGCGTGACACGGTTACGATTCCCAAAAATAAATCAAAGTATGCGTTCGCGTAACTTTAGACACAACAATCTTAATTAACAAAGCGTGATTAATTGTGTACACGTACGTGTGACATGATTCTTGACGCGCCGAACGAAATGAGTACAAGTACGCGTGACTCGTTTCAGGTTAATTTCAAATTAAAAAGCGGTAAAAGGTAAAAATGTACATTGGTTCTAAAATGAGTAATTAAACAATTTAATTAAGCCTGGTATGATTAAAGCGACTGTGCTAAAACTACGAAATCCGGGAGTGCCTCACACCTTCTCCCGGGTTAACAGAATTCCTTACTCGGTCTTATGTGTTCGTAGACCATAAATAAGAGTCAAATTTCCTCGATTTGTGATTTAAAATAAACCGGTGACTTGGGACACCATAAATTATTCCAAGTGGCGACTCTGAATAAATTAAAATAATCTCATTTCGATATTGTCACTTAAATTGGAAAAACTCCCTAATGCCTTTCCCCTTGGAAAAAAGGAGGCGTGACAGCTCTGGCGACTCCGTTGGGGAATAAGAACCCAGAATCTCTGGTTCAGGGTTCAGAATTCGAGCTTGTTAATATGATTTATGCTTAACTTTATTGATTGTTGATATTATTGTATTTGTGGACCTAATGTGCTAATTGCCGCTTATTTACCGCGTTGATATTATTTGAACTGTATTAAACTGTCTTCTTACGTTTTCCTTCTGAGTCTTCTAAAAACATGGTGCACACGTACGCGTGGCCCACTTTTTTGTTAGAAGTCATACCAAATAGAACGAGGCTGGATCAACAACTAGGCCGGGTAGATTTTCGTGCTCCCGGTTTATTAACCCCACCTCGGCTCGAGATGTCTAGAACACACCCCCAGGGTTTTAAACCTAGAATAACACAGCCTTATGTCGGATACCTAGTAGGAACGTTTGTTTGCATCACGTGCATTTGACTTTGGGGACTCAACACAGGGGTTATGTCCGTCTAGGACAGGTGTACCCAAAAATAAAAGACCATCCTGATGCATCCTATGTGCTACATGTTACATTCTTCAAGTGTAAAAAGGGTCATTTGGCGGACAGATGATAGTTGAGGGTAAATGAGAAAGAAAAGATGGTGAAGTTTTTAAAAATGAAGCAAGTACGGCCACTTATATTTTTCTTTCACAATTTTTTTAATTCAAGAAAAAAAAAACAAAAAAATTATATAAATCAAAAATCCAAAAAATATTTTGCACTTTCCCATCATTGTTTTTTTTTAAAAAAAGACAAAAAATATGTTTTCTCCAAATCAGTTATTTTTTTAATTCTCGCCCGTATCCAATCTTCCCGAACTACGCATACCTGATTCTCGTCTTTCGGGGCAAGATACTGTCGACGCCCCCTTTTTTCTCGCGAAATCGGGTTTACGACATTCGGGAAGACAACTCTATTCCCGTTTGGGAATTGGGTTTTTGGAATTGAAGAGTCGCCACCTAATGGTTGAGTGCATTAGGACACTAAGAAGGGTTTTGAATAGGAAAACCAGAGTTCGGGTAAGGGCTAGAAATTATCTCGAGGGGAAGGTGTTAGGCACCCCTCAAGATCCACTAGTGTGGTTCCCGGCCATGTTATGTTGTGACTTTAATGTAAACAAGTATGCAAATAAATTTACACATAAGGGTTGCTAACAAGCATGTTGGAATTTATAAACAAAGAAGGAAAAGGGATAATGCAGTAAAAAAATAAAGGGGAGTTTTGGGTAATTGAAAAGACAGAATTTATTGATATTAAACAAAGTAACATAGGGCAAGGGGTCGTAGGTTTATAAATCACATGGATCATCCACACAACACCGGTAACAAATCGTACGCGTAGTGTTATCGTGTGATCATCATCTCCATATCTACCCTTCCCACCCCGATAAGGTATTAAGCGCGAAATGGT